GCATGGATTTATAGCAGTGTATATATGGGAATACATACAACATCTTATTGGTATATTTGTTCACAACGAGATGTTCTGGCAGAAAAACCCCAAAAAAATGAGGATCCTTCGAAGCGTTGTGATAGACCGTCCATGGAACGATTTTAATATGATGGTGTTGTTAAAATTAATATTAATCAAACAACTAATCTAGCATATATAACTATAAATCATAATCCTTTACATGAAAGACCAAATGATATATCAGTACCTCAGGATGTTAAGGATTTTATTGAAAAGAATATTGATCTCTTACCATATACACGACTTGTCGATAAAGGTATGAGCCTAATGATCTGGCAAAAACAAATTCATTTCTGTGGTCAAAGCTTGGTCAAGGAAGATATAAGTGTGATAAAGATGCATTCGAATTAGCAATAAAATGGCTTAATGAAAACCAGCATAAGATTATTTTTGAAACATGTCCAGTCCGTACATTAGCCTTTATGACAGGATTATATAAGCATCTAAAAGAAATAAATATTAATATTAATGAGTGTGGCATTGATACAACATGTAAGTATAAATTTTATCATATAAAATAATAATAATAATAATAATAAATTTAAATTATTTAATACTTATAATATTTAGATAATACGAATAGCTTCAAAATGGAGTTATATAGTTTTCAGGCTGAAATAAATGGTACTGGATTTCCTTTGGCTTATCTGTTCTTAGAAAATAATGGAAAATGCAGATCAGGAATACGTACCACTATGATTCAAGCATTTCTTTCAAAATTGCGTGAAGAAGGAATAAACCCAAGCTTTTTACTTACAGATAAAAATTTTGTACAAATTTCTGCTACGCGTTTCGTTTGGCCAGGAATCAAAATTTAGCTATATAAATGGCATATAAAATGAGCTGTAATGGACGACTTGCAAGTGACAAAGCTTCTAAAAATACTAGCTTTAATTCATTGTCTCAACTCGGTGCTCAATTCCCATTTGAAGGTGTTGAACAATCATCCAAGTTTTGTTCTAAAGAAAATTGAGAAGCTGTGTGGAAAATGATTGAAAAACACTTTCACCAACACCCTTTAATTCCCACATGCGATAGTCAATTTCTTACCAAAGAAATAATTCATGAAAATGCTATTCATGAAATGTATAATTTTTGTAAAACCTACTCCTTAATATCACTTTGGTGTTATTTATAGGGTGAATGGTATGATGATCAAAAGTGGAAATTGTGGGCTCGATCTTCCTGTGAAGACAAAATATCAATCTTTAAGACTACAATATTTGTAGAAGGATATTGAAAAGTTATAAAAAGAGACTTTCTTTACAAATTTTTCTGGCCTTGTTTCGACTTAGTAATCTACATCTTGATAACGAGGCTAATAATTCAACAATTCCGAAAAATTCTACAAATCAAAGCCGGAAGAAAAAAACCTGAGTGGATAAAGCAGTTTAAATCGGAGTGGAGGGTATTATCAACTCGTAAAATTAATCAGGCATATGTGACAGATTTGGATCAATGGATATGTGGTTGTCCATATTATTTAACAAGCAGATTTTATAACTGCAAGCACCTAGTATAGCAAAAAGAAGAGGCTAATAGTGAATTTTTTAATCGTATTAGAAGAAACCACTAGCCACCATTTATAATCGAGCATGAACAGGTTCTTGTTGAGGGGCAAATAAATGAAGGGTTTGGAAACGTTTAGGATATAATCGAGTCTGATGATGAAAGTGATGATATTTACGATAAGTTGATTACTTTAACAACCAAAACACTTACACTTCTTGAAGAACAAAAAGGGGCTAGGAATTTCCAATAGGCAAGAGGTGTAAAACGAAACTTTGCTCCCATTCACAGAATGATAAATGAAATTAAAACTTATCATAGAAAAAAAAAAATGCCCTTAACTTGGAAAGGGTACACAAATAATATGTGATTCCTAAATTAAATTAAATTTGATAAGTTCTTAATATATATGAATAGAATCTTTTTAAAAACATAGTTACTTACTCTATAGCTTCTGATTTTTTTTTTTTTAATTTACATTATCAATACTTATATTTTAATTCCTTTAAAATATTAATTGTAAAATAGAAAAAATTTTTTTTTATTAATAAATAATTCTGCTTTAAAATTAAACCTTTAAATAATTTTATATTATATACTTACTTTCTATATGTCGGTCTTGAATAAACTGAAAGATCAATAAATTCTGAAAATATTGAAAGTATAAAATATTAATATAAAGAGTATAATTAATATCTATTCTAAAGGTTGTAAAGTGCTTAAAAACTTTCCAAAAACAAAGAAATTGTTTGAAATATCCAGATATCGGTTTAATGGAAATATTTTCATATTAAGCATATAAAAAATATCGTTGTATCCAGATATCGATATGACCAGAACGACATATAGTACAATAGTAATAATATAAGTATACAGAATTATAAAAAAAAAAAGTTTTTTTTTTTCATTTTATAAAAAGCCAACTTACTAGTACAGTCTGCTGCACTTTTAATAAGGGTTGCCAAGCACAAATTTACAGCCTCTTGATTGGTAATCATTATATAAAAACACTACAAGAATAACGATACAGTAATAATAATATAATAATAAAAAATTCTGAAGACCCGTGATGATCTGATTGGTCATCATTAGGGATCTACTTCACATGATAGTAAAATTTTCATGGCGATACTGGGAAAGATCTCTTAAGAGATAGAAATCACCTAATTTATGTCAAGCCTCTAATATATAACTTAAACTTATATTAAACAATTATAATTTTATATTTAACTAAACTTATTTAAAATATTGTTATATGCTGAAATAATATATTTTTTGGTGCTGAACAAGTTTACTTAGAGCTCAAAGTTATACTTTATTAGTAATATTTTGAGTAATACAAGATTTTCTATATTTTTATTAATAAAATATAAAAAATTATCATAAACTAAAATTTTACTAATAAGATAAGCTTTTACATTCTAAGTAAACTTGTTCAGCACCAAAAAATACATCATTATGATATACGTTTTTTTTACTTTTCTTGATTTGTAAAGTGAAAATGTGTAAATTTGGTAAATTTTCATCAAAAATGCAATTTTACACATTTTAATTTATAGCAAATATATATTGTAATAATGTATTTCTTGATGCTGAACAAGTTTACTTAGAATATAAAGGTATATTTTATTAATAAAAAATTAGTTTATAATAAATTTTCTATATTTTTATTAATAAAAATATAGAAAATTTATCATAAAAAATTTTTTTACCAATAAAATGTGTCTTTACATTCTAAGTAACCTTGTTCAGCATCAAAGAATACATTATTACAATATATGGTTGCTTTACTTTTCTTAATCTGTAAATTAAAATATGTAAAATTGCATTTTTGATGAAAATTTACCAAATTTATATATCTTCACTTTACAAATCAAGAAAAGTAAAGAAAATATATACTGTAATGATGTATTTTTTGGTGCTAAACAAGTTTACTTAGAATGTAAAAGCTTATTTTATTAGTAAAATTTTAGTTTATGATAATTTTTTTATATTTTATTAATAAAAATATAGAAAATCTTGTATTACTCAAAATATTACTAATAAAGTATGACTTTGAGCTCTAAGTAAACTTGTTCAGCACCAAAAAATACATTATTAAGGTATGTATTTGTATCTTATATAAGTTTATTAGAGGCTCAAAAATAATAATTAATTAGTAAAACTATATATATATATATTTAAATCAGTCAATCAGAATTGTCTTATGTGGGGAGAGGGGGTACCCTCATAGTAAATAGATATTATATAATATCTGTCATGGCCCTTATTAAAACAAAACTTCAAATAAATAAATATACTGTATATTATAATATTACTACGTTACTGTCTGCAAAAAAATAAAGTAAATTTTATAAATGCTTTACAGAAAAAATCTCAGATGCTCTATAATATTGTTTCTTTACTAAACAACATTTTTGCAAAAAAAAGTTTTAGTAAAAAAAATAATATAAAAAATAAAAAAGCATTCAAAAAGAAAACATATTCAAAAAAAAAGTTTCTTTACAAATTGTTTTTTTCTCAAATTTATCTTTTTATTATTGATTTGTTGTTATCATTATTGTTATTACAAAAGAAATTTTTGATTATTTGCACATATACATATATGCATTAGTAATCATATAAATTGCAATCTGGCATCAGAATCTAATCAAAACTATATTAGTAATCATTATATCATGTGACTGCACACAGCTTTAGACATACCTCTAATTTGGAAGGAGTATGCTAGTTTTCTTACTTTTTGGTTAAAATTTCTAAAAAAACTCCAAAATAGTAGAAATATGATAGAGGGTATATAGTTGCGAGTACTTTAAAAGTTTTTGAAAGAGTAATATAAGAAGCTCATTTGCTATTTCCCTTCTATTATATTACCTATGCTTGACTTTGTTAATGATATAGTCTCACTTCTGTTAGAGCACTACTATCCCCAAAATTTTGTATACAAGGGCATCTATCAGCCTATTATCTTGGTCCTAATACTTTTGGTTTGCATGCCAAATATGCAAAGGAGTCCTCCAAAGAAAAAGGTTAACCTTTACAAGAACCACTGCATAGTACCTTCTTCTTTTCTAACAAAATTTTTTGCTTCTGTTTGGTGGGAAATTTTGGTACAAGTAATCATCCATACTGATGAAAATAAAGGTATTATTGGTGTGATATTTAAAAAAATTTTTTTAATTATGTATTTGTAAATTTCGAAATAAAAATTTACAGTTCTAATTCTAATACTATATTGGACTTAAATTCTAATATTAAATGTGGCAAATTCAAGTTTCAACACTATTTCAAATACAAGTTCCAATGATATATCAAACATAAGTTCCAACACTATATCAAATATAAGTTTTAATGCTAAATTTAATGCAAGCTCTAATACTATTTCGAATGCAAGTTCTAAAACTGTGTCAAATACAAGTTCTAACACTATGTTGAATGCAAACTTCAATGTTATGTTGAATTCAAGTCAACCTTCTGTTGCTACAATTTCAAGTATTTTATCTACATTGTTTTAAATTAATTATGTATTTTAACTATATTTAATATTTTTTTTTTTTATAGATAAACATTCTCATTTTAAAAAGCGTATGATTCCAACTTCAAATTTGAATTCCAAACTTACAGCACCCTTTAAAGTTCCACAAATTCACCATCAGAATCAACAAAAATTACTAGTAAAAAGCAAAGAATTGGTGATACAAACAAAAGAAAATAAAACAACTACTTCTTCTATTAATAACGATTATGAACAGATATCAATTACAAATAAATAAAGAGCAAGAAGTGTTGCAACAAATTACAAATAATATCATTATTCAAATTCCAGATACTAGCAAGCCAATCGATATCAATTTGAAGATTTCTTTCAACAATTAATTAAAATATTTCATAGTTTAATTATACAATAAATAGCATTTTATATGTAATTGACAATTTTAAACTGTATATGTTTCACTGGCAGTTTCAAATTTAATTAATATTTTCACAACTGCATAATTCCAATTTTAAAAATATTACTTTTTGCTTATATGAAAATCACATGATTTTCATATAGATCTGTGCGAATAAGCTTTCAAAAAAAGCACGGGTTGTTACATAAGACCCATACGATAAAATTGTATTATTTTCACAGGAGTTTCTATATTTTGTTTACCAAAAAAAAAGTAGGTTATGATGTATGATTGGCTGTTTAAATCAATTTAATTTTACATTATTTATACAGTTTAAAGTACTTTAAAAAAAAAGAAAACTACTACGAATAAACAAAAAAGAAGGATATAGAAAGGTTTATTAGAGTTGTAGGACTCCACTATTAAAAATAATCAAAATTCTTTTTTGTTTTAGAGAAGTTAACATGGTGATAATCTAATTTTAAGAAGTCGTTATTATACTAACAAAAAAGAATTTTGATTATAGAGTTCTACAATCCTAATAAACCTTTCCATATACTTCTTTTTTGTTTATTCGTAGTAGTTTTCTTTTTTTTAAAATATACTTTAAACTGTATAAATAATCTAAAATTAAAATTGATTTAAACTGCCAATCATACGAATGTCTGCCTATAATCTCAGTAGCGAGTCTTTGTAGTTTTTTAACAGACCAAGTATGAAAGTAAAAGCTTTTTAACCAAGTTAATATTAAAAGATATCACTTCTATTTTAACTAATATTTTTTTTGAACCCGCAAACTTAGAGAACCATTAAAAAATGATATATAATTGTTCATACAAATTTGTCATGTATAAATTGACTTAATTGACTTATTAATACACGTAAAAATTCATTATTGTTATCGGTAGTTATAGTTATTAGTTAGAGACTATAACACACATTTTTTGATTCGTGTATTTGATCGCGTATAGATATATAAAAACAGATTAAAATCGGGTTTAACATATAAAAATAAACCCGGTTCAAACCTCTAAATCACATATTGATATCAACATTTGACGGATTACGCGATGATTTTTAAAATTTTAAATGGACAAATTGCTTAGTGAATACAAATGTAGAATTTCGTATGTAATGATGCATTCAAATGAATAATATGTAATTTATTTATAATCTAACCGAAAAAAAATAGAATATCATTAAAAATTTACTAACGTAATCTATATTCAAAAAATAATACAATAACGATTTAATCATGTAATTACGTTATATTCAATAACACTTAAGAACAAGATTATTGATACTTAACAATGTATATTTCAATGCCGTAATTAGAAGCAATTATATTTATCTAAGAACTATTTTCTATTTTTAACTCAAATAAAGTAATGTTTATTAGTCATTATCTTTTTCATTATGTTGTATTTATTATAAAAAAAAAAATAGAAATAAAAAAATAATGGTATATATAATATATTTTTATTTTCTTCAAAAGAAACAATTCTGTCTTTTAATAATCTTCGTCTCGTCCCTTTTCGAAATGATTTAAATTTTTTCTAAATACTAACCCTTATAGATGAAGCACTATGTGTATTTATTTAAAGTAGTACAATACAAATTCTCATAGCTACTATCTAGGCCTACAAAAAAATATTTTTCAGATCCGCCAGAGTGTCTACCTACAAACACATTTTTTACATATTTTTCGGTTTCTTCTTACTAGATACGCGTTAACGTATTTTTCAGCGTCCTGGCACCTGCCCCCAATCCGCCTAAGAAACATAAAACATTTTCTTTGTTTCTTACGGCTTCTCAACACCTAATTAACACTAAAAGTGTTTTTCGGTTTTACCTATCTACCGAAATACAAGTGTGAAATATGAAGTGCGTTTCTTTGACTGTGCAGAAGGAAACTTGACAAAGTACTATGTACGTAAAAAAAAAACGATTTTTACTAATAAACATGCTTCTGTTACACTAAAAAATTGATTTTCGTGACTTTTTTTATGCAAAGTAATCACTTTTGAGCATGGTGAACAAACTATGTTATACAAGCTTTTCGGATCTGAAAATCGTGACTCGGAGATGATTCAGAGCCAATCCGACCAATGAAATTGCTTGATTTTATAATATTAACGTAGTTATCTTTAGCTCTTTTCACTTCGCTTCATTTACACAGTTTCAAATTACTTACTAATTACCGATCCACTAATGCTTTTTACTTTTACTACAGACAATTACACTAGTTACTTTTTTTATTTTTTGTAATAATATATAGTCAGACCCTAAATTACAACTCCCCTAAGTGCACATCCTATGAAAAGTCTCTAAACACACGTCTTTTCTTGGGCCCAACTAATATTACACCTATAGATTTTTACCTTCCTAAGCAATATCTCTTTAAGTGCACATTTGGCTAAGTTTTTACATATAGTCTGTCGCATTGTATTTAGAGGTCTGGCTGTATATTAAAAGAAGTAGATTAAAGTTAAATTATTACACAGTATGTCGCTTTATTTTATTTTATTTTATACTTACATATTTAATAAGTTTACAGATTATATAGTATAGCAATCTCAAAATATATGAATAACTTCAGTGCTACAACGAATGTGTAAGTATTTGATGAGTTGAATCTAAAAGAATTATGGAAAATATTCAAATTATAACTGATATAACACTTCCAAAGCTTGATGTCAAATGTGTAACTCAAAAAAAATAATACAAGGATGAACAAGCGGAAACAAGAATATTGATACTATATATATATATATATATATTTTTTTTTTTTATATTGCCAAACGTAGAAACTTTATTAGTCATGATTCATACTTTTTTTTACAGAGCAATTGATATATAGTTTCTAATTATATTTGTACTACTATTACTAGTCACCCAATGTGGCATTATACTCCTTATTTTCCTATATTACTTTTCCATTAACTATT